TTCATGCTCTGTCTCTTTCTGTCTCAAAAATAAACATTAAAAAATTTTTTTTAAATATGAGTCTTACTGTAGACAAGGTAAAAATACAATATATAGAAAATAGTAACAAGAATGCCATGTAAATGTGTGTTTCTGAGTCTCAGCCTCTCTTTTGTTCAGTCTTCCATTAATTCGGTGAACACATGTTTATTGAACATTTACTAAGTGCCAGGCACAGTCCCAGGCATGAGGGGTTTGAAGCAGAGCAGGACACATAAAAGAAGCTTGTGGTCCAGTGGGTCTAGAAGCCAGTGCAGATGGAAGGTTCGGGAGCAATGATGTAGCAGGATTTGTGCCCCCCGTGAGAGAGAAGATTAAGGGCGTATTTGCCTTAGGCTGGGAGTCCTGCCTCATCCCTGTCCCCTAGGTGGCTCATAGAGTTCTCTCCCGGACCTTCTTTAAGAAGTCCCCAGCTCACCCTGGTTCTGCCGGCCGCCTCTGCTCCTGGGTCCTGAGCTCCCGAGGCCCTTCCTCTGAGGCTGCGCTGTGTTCTGGTCCCTTCTCTGGCCCCCCTGGGGCTGATGAGGGCTGCTTCCCACTGCCCATCCCTGCAGCATCTGGAAACGCAACCTGGAACAGAGATGCCCATGCGCTAGCCCAAGGGTTGGCCACAAGTACCCATTCTGGAGGGCTCCTCCCTCTCCTTGGACATCGTCCAGGCCTCAGGGACAGGGACATCCTGTGCTGACTGCGGAAGGCGCTGCAGAGAGGCGAGGAGGAGGAGGAGGAGGAGAAGGAGGAGAAGGGAGAGGTGCAAGAGAGGGGGAGGGGGAAGGGGAGGGGGGAGACAGGGAGCTGGAGAGTGGCTAGGCGTAAGACCTGGCCCAAGCCAGCAGCGCTAAGGGCTCTAGCAGAAACCTACAGTCCGGGGTAGCACCTGAGCCAAGGGAACCCCCGGAGGACAGCCTGATGGAGCCCCCTGGGGGACATCACGACCCTCAGAAGATCCAAGAGAGGCTTCCACGATTTCTGCTACTTCACAGGTCAGGCTCTGGAACCGGATCTCGATGCCCATCTTGGTCTATCAGTCCCTGGCTGAGCCAGTGACTGGAGCCAGCTCCGACCCTCACCTGAGGCAGCAGACTCCAGACGACCTGCCTCAATCACTTGAGGACAGTTGTTCTAATGCAAGGTCGAGCCAACACTGAGGACACCTACGCTCGGGGAGGCAGGGTCTGTGCCCCAGGCAGTGGGGCTCAAAGGGGTGCCATGGCCCGCCCAAGGTCATATGGCTGGTTACATAACCGGACTGAAACCCATGACTTTGTTTGTTGAAAAAAAAAATGAGGGGTAGAGGTGGAGGGAGCCCTGAACGCTTGCCCCAGTCTCCTTCTAAGACCGGCCCCCCTACCTTCAGGCGCTCTCCCTGCCCCCAAGGGAAGCCGTGATTTATAACAGAAGCTACAGGGAGAGGATAACACTTTACCCAAGGGAATGTTGACTTTTTTTTTTTTTATGGTGACATTTTTGGCTCTGGGGAAACCAGATGGGAAGGAGGGCTTTGCTTTCTCTGTGCTCTTCAGTTCATGCCCCTTGGCACCTAAAAGAATGGCTGGAAAGAGGCTGAGGGGTATGATGGAGGCTTAGGATGCAGGCTGAGGGCTGGGAAGGGTCGTGCTGGAAGCCCTGAGCAACTGTCAGGAGACTGGAGGGTCTAAAGGGGGCTGGGGGCACACAGCAGAGTAAATAGGAATTCTGGTTTTGCTCACCCAGCATCTATCCTGGTAAGAGAAGCCAGTGGAGTCAGGTGAGTACCACCTCTGGCTCCGTTATACCAAGAGATCCAGGCCACTCTGCTCTGCCACGGTGACTAATTCAGGGATGAGCATGTGACCACGATCTGGGCCAGTCGCAGTGATACCAGAGACTTCCTTCAACTATTGCAGAGAGGCTCTCTTCCTGTTGGGGACGCTATGCCAGAGGACGTAAGATGAGAAGATTTTAGCCCGAAGTGGCCAGGGCAATCCTTGCCACCTTTCAGGAAGGGCCTGCCTGGGAGCGTCACACTGGAAGGCAGAGCCAACAGACACTCATGTAGCACCTTGATCCAGCCATACCTGAAGCACACCCGTAGATCTGTCATCTACCCAAGCTGATGTAGGGAAAGGTGCCGGCTGGGAATAGCAGGGTCAGAACATGAGGTGCAGGGCCCTACCTGGCTGATTTCTGATATGGTAGGCTCAACACCAGGCCTCTTGCTGGTGGTGCTCATGCCAGGACTTGGCTGGGCTTCTGGAGCCTTGATCCTTCCCTCCGTGTGCATCTGGGCGTTTCCGTTGTCCATTGTGCCACAGCCAGTGAGGGTGCCAAGTGAGGGGCATCAGTTGCTGTGGTCCCACAGGAGAAATCCAATCAAAGTTCCACCAAGGTCATTACCTATGCACTCTTCAGCAGCCCACCTGGAACCTGTGATACAGAGAGCCTGGCTCAAGGGAATAGTCAGGGCCCGGCCCACACCGGAGAGGGATGCAGCGGAAACAGAGAGCTAGCCACACATTCATCCTGATTCTCACAGTAACTCCGAGGAGCAAAGTCACTGGCCCAGGGTCCAATGCCAACTAGGCCACAGAGCAGGAATTAAACCGTGGCCTGTCGGATCCCCAAACACACGCACTTTCTCCTACCCCAGCATTTCCTAATGGGTGCTCTTTGGTCCTAATATTGGTCCCATGAGGTACACCACACACACACACACAAAAGAGTTCTGAGGCCAAATGCATTTGGAAAGTGCTGAGTTAAAATAGAATAGGCTCTGGAGCCCCTGGGTGGCTCAGTCGGTTAACGGTCCGACTTCGGCTCAGGTCACGATCTCGCGGTTCGTGAGTTCGAGCCCCGCGTCAGGCTCTGTGCTGACGGCTCAGAGCCTGGAGCCTGCTTCGGATTCTGTCTCCCTCTCTCTCTGCCCCTCCCCTGCTCACGCTCTGTCTCTCTCTCTCTGTCTCTCAATAATAAATAAACGTTAAATTTTTTTTTTAAATAGAATAGGCTCTGTGCTGCAGAACTTCTCAGAGCCTTCAATGTGCATGTTAAATATACATTTTAAAGAGTGTCCCAGAATGTCACGGCTGTTGCTGCTATAGATGAAAACTCCAAGTTCTTCTTGGGGTTAAGGAACAAGAGCTGAGAACATCTGTCTCGGGAACCCCAAGGTCTCCAATAGCAACATTTAGTTCGCCAAAGCACCCTCCACCCTGCCCCGGACACATCCCTTTCTAAAGCCTTTCTTGGTGTCTCTCCTGCCTCTCCCACCCAACCTCTTATTAGGCTGTTTCACCACCCCCTACTCAAACATGTTTCAACCTGAGCAGCCCTCCCACAATCCTAATCCCACAGACCCCCAGCCTCTGTGCCCACATCCCACTTCTCTGTCTCCCCAACAACCCCCACCCCCCCCACCACCACCATTCTTCAACCTCCCACCTCTTCTCCAAGCTTCTAGCCACCTCAGTCACCTCCAGCGTCTGGATTCCTCTGAGGTAACATTAACACTATTTCTATGGGTGCATCACAGACCCCTTTATACTGTTGACGATTCCTAGGGGTAAATCCCACCCCCCCAGTGCGACCCTGGGACCTTGAAGATCTTGATGGTGCTTTCACTTTAAACCAGGGCAGGCCAGCCAACAGACACAGGAGTCTTCTATTTGCTGGGGGCGTTTGCAGGCGGTGCTCTCCTAAGGGCTCTGTGGGATCACTGGGTTCAGCCCTGAGGCTCAGAGGAGCCCCGTGTCTCGTCCAGCGCAACTCAGCTAGTCTGCAGAAGATCTGGGTTCAGCCCCAGGCCTGTGCGGCTCCCGGGACCGCGTGTCTCACCGTCTTATCTCGCATCCAAAGAAGCTCAAGCCACTTAACTCGTCTACCTACGTAACCAACAGCTGTTTAACAGACACCTGCCCGAGCTGGGCACGGCACCAGGTCCTGAGGATGCGCTGGCTGTTCTGAAGGCTCTCGCAGCGTACCGGGAGCACAGAGCAGGTGCTCCCAACAGCCACGACCCCCAATCCCCACTCCCTCCTCCTTTCCTCCCACCCCTACCTATACCCCGATCCTTCCTGCAGCTAGGCCTGCGCCCCTACAATGCAGACGAGACCTCCATCCCGTGGGGCGCCCGCCCCAGGCGCAGCGCCCGTCTCCCCAAGGGTCTAGTCTCTCGCTTGGCACAGGGAGGTCAGCGCTGTGACCAAATCCCACCCTCTGCCCTGGAAGTTCCTTGCTCCTCCCAGTCTCTCTCCCATGAGGGCCCCCTGCACTTCCCCCTTCCCTCCGGGCATTCCCGCCCCAGGGGTGGATGACCCGTCCGGAGGACCGCCCTTCCAGACCCCTCGAACACGCCCCCCATTGTCCCCTGTCTCCACCTCAGAATCCTCAGGCCCCGGCATTCCACAAGCTGGAATTTTGAGGGGGCAGAGGCTCCAGAGGGGATCCAGCCCCCTCTCCGTCCCCATCTGGGACTTACAAACCCTGTGAGAGTCTGAACGAGGGGACGCCCCCAACCCTAGTAGAAGGGCATGGAATCTGAGGACAGAATTGAGGCAGGTGGGTGGCACATACAGACGACGATGTCCTTTCCGAGAACTTGTACCTTCTGGTTTTGTCCACGGCTTTGTGGCTATTTCATTCACATCCCATACAATTCTCCCACTTATTAATTAATTAGTTTTAAAATTATTTATTTATTTATTTTATTTTTGAGAAAGAGAGGGAAAGCTGGGAAGGGGCAGAGAGAGAGAGAGAGAGAGAGAGAGAGA